AAGTTAAGCTCCGCTTCAGTGTCTCATTTTCCTCTTTGTGAAGCTCAAGCAGCTCCTCAGTGGACAGTTCCTTACTGTGCTCTTCCACCAACTCCTCAACATCATCATCATCCACTTCCAGGCCCATGGAATTGCCCAGAGACAATTTCATGAACAACAGCCTCTTCTTCTAACCCTTCGAAGCCTTCAAAGTCTCTTTGAAGGACACTCAGGCCACAATGGCCTCCAAGCAGCACAAAGACACCTCACAGTAACCTCTTTCCATGCTGAGGTAATTAAAAACACAGCGTCTGCTACATTGAAGTGACTCTTCCAGAATTCCTTCAAGCTAACATCACTGGAAGAAGTGGATGCAAAACATTTTCTAAACAGTGCCTTTGTGTACAGCTTCTTGAAGTTAGAAATTACCTGTTGATCCATGGGCTGGATGAGAGTGTTGTGTTGGGTGGCAAGAAGTGCACAGTGATGAAGTTGAACTCCTCTGGCAATTCAACCATCAAATTAGGAGGGTGGGTTGGGTCCATCACCAACAAAGCTTTCAGTGGAAGATTATTCTCCCTGAGGTATTCCCGAACACTGGGTCCAAACACCTCAATCACCCACTCAGAGAATAAATTCCTGGTCACCCAAGCCTTTAGCGGGTCTTCCTAATTTTTTTGAAAGCTCTGGGGTTTTCTGCATGGTACACAAGGAGTGGCTTTATTGTGCAGTCACCAGAAGCATTAGCACAAAGAAGGAGGGTAAGCCTGTCTTTCATTGGCTTATGGCCAGAGACAGAAGTTTCCTCCTTGGTAATGTATGTACGGCGAGGCATTTTTTTCCAAAAAAGTCCAGTTTCATCACAGTTGAATACCTGCTGAGAAACAAAGCCTCCCTCTTTAATAATATTCAAAAAATGTCAGGGTGTTCCTTAGCTGCTTCCTTATCTGCACTAACAGCATCACCATGTCTCACAACACTATGTATTTTATTTCTCCTTCTGAAACCAGTAAACCACCCCTTGGTACCCCTAAACACTGGCACATCACTATCACTTGCACTGGGAGTCTTGGCTTTAAGGTCCTCAAACAATTGTCTGGCCTTCTCACAAATTATAGCTTCACTAATGCTATCACCTGCCATTTCTTTCTCCTTTATCCACACTAAGAGTAAATTTTCCATCTCCTCAATCACATTACACCTTGCTTTGCTAAGTCTAGAGATTTCCTTAGCCACTTGCACTGTTTTCAACTCCTCTTTATTCTTTAAAATCGTACATATATTTGTAGTCGATTTAGCCATCCCATACTCATCACTAAAATTCGCAATGCTTGTTCCATCCTCACGTTTCTTTATGATTTCTTTCTTAGTTTCAAGAGTTATGAGCTTTCTCACTCGCTTTGGACTATTCATTGTTACAATTGTACACTTGTATAACAAAATATTTATACAAATAACTCTATTTCCACATCAAAAGACGAAATTTCAACAATAACAGTGGTGCACTGGCTACACAATGAGACAAAGATGGCGCCTGACGCTCTTGTTGTGGGTCGCGGTACAACAATATTCATGCGCCAGACGAAATAGTCCCGTATTCATCCGCGTTCGTTGTAGGAGTTGCGTTTGTTATAGCATTCTCAAATTTATAGGTAAAACCGTTCGTTATAGGAATATTCGTAGTAGGATCCGTTCGTTATAGCATACCCCACTGTACAATACTACCCTTCCTAATCACCAATACTGTATTATGTTCCGACATCAAGAAAAAACAGCAACAAAACCTACTAACCTGCCATTAGTTCAAGGACGTGGGCTAATGGTAAGTAGGCCAAATAAACATCATCTTTCTCGATATTCAAACCCACAGCATAGCCAATGATGGAATTAACAAGATTGTAGTGAGACATGACAACTCCTTTTGGGGCACCAGTTGAGCCTGATGTGTACATAATGATGGCTGTGTCATCTGAAGTTGGTGGCACATCTGATGAAAAGAGTAAAGAAAAAAGATAAATTTAATAGTGTATATACAGAAAATACAGTTTAGTTCATCCTTGAATTATGCGAGAACTATTAGAGGGAATGCTTTACAAAATGTCAAATATAGAAAGATCCTTTTTTAATGTAAACACTGAAGGATCAAAATAAGTTTTGAAGGAAAAAAGTACTGTATATCATATATATTTAAAGAAAATTAACCCTGAATGGAGGGAAAAATAGAAAATAATATGAGGTCAAGGAGAATGCATTCTTGAATTTCCTATTACAATTGCTCTAAGTTTTAAAGATTTATTTGAGGACAATTTTCCCACCATTACACTGGGACATAGCTTATCAGTGAGCCTAAGGTTTACTATTAACAGGGAGGTACTACCACCTGGGAAGATATTGGAAGCATAATGTATTGTCTAATGGTAGACCCTGCTGCCATATGGCATCACAAAAATTGTGACCAAGTCCCAGGTTGCTCATCTGACTTTCTGCCTCATTTACACACAATTGCAGGGTCTCCATTGTTTCTCTTACCATTGACAACACAACATACATACAATAATATCTCCGTTAGCCGGAATCCCTCAAACCCAGAAATCTCCGATAGCCGGAATTGAAATTTGCTCGGAAAATCATTCCCAAAGCCGGAATTATTAAAAAATGTCCGGCTTTCGGAACAAATTTTACGGGTTTGAAAATCGAGAGCATTTTCTGAAAATGTCTTGATAAAGACGAAAGTTAAGTATTTTCGGGGACCTGACCTGACCTGACCTGACTCAGTGTCAGGTGGAGGTAGGGTAGGGGATTAGTGGTCTTATATAACTGACCTTCTGATGGATTGTCAGGTCACCCTTTCTTGGGTGGGGGATTAGTGGGTCTCAAGACCTGAAGATGTCTTGAATAAACACGAAACCTAAAGTATTTTTAGGAAGATTGTGATCAGTATAAGTATAAGTGAGCAAAGTTGCATCCCTTCAACTTTATACTACATAGCATTTTAAAATATGGAGTGAGAAAGCAGAAAGGTGTGGGTGAGATGTGCAGTGGTAGCATACATCAGTGTTGCCAAGTGATAAGCTCCTCAACAGTTGATCTTTTAATTTGCCTCCATGTTGTCACACAACAAGACCCTCACTGGATGCTTGTCGTGTTAATTACTGTGTGTGTGTGTTTTGACCTTGCCAAGCACATTGTAGGATTTGAAAAAGTTGATAAAGAGTTTGTTCAGAAGTCAGGTGGTGAGGTGACATGCCAAGACACACAGCACACCCAATAACAGCACTACTAAACCATTGTCGTATAACATTTTACATTATAATTTCTATTTTAAAATTAATTGATACATGATAGCTCGACAGAGCTACTTTTGCACTTAGACAATTGATCAATGAATAAACCAGGGCATATGGAGACTCATTATACATGAGTGATGTCACGAAGCTTTTAAACTGGAAAAATTTAATTATCAGAACCAGTACTCAAATGTACTAAGTTAAATACTAAAATTATGTCTAGTGCAAACTATGGGATGGTTATACTTAAAATAATCTTACAAGGACTCTAGCAATACAAGTTATATTCACGTAAGTCAAGTCAATGACATTTTATAAGCGTTAATCTCTCCTCCGTGGGGGGGTGGGGGTAAAAGTGACCACGCCACGGGTCGTCTCGCTGTTTATCTACTCTTCATGATACAATATTGTTTATTTGTTTTTCATTAATTAGTACAGATACATTACTGTAATAACCTGTGCTTATAAATACATGTACCCTTCATATACAATACAGTACTGTACTATATAGTACTATGCATTTTTTTACGGGGATTAGCCCACCCAGGCGGCACAGGTCAATGACCCACAACGAGGAGTAAAAAATAATGCCATTCAAAACATATTCAGGTCATAAGACCCACTAATCCCCCTCCCAACACTGGGTGACCTGACGTTGCATCAGGTCAGGTTAGTAACATGACCCAATTATCTCCCACCCAACCTTCCTCACAAGTGTTAAGACATGATTAGTTATGTATTACAGTCAATTGAGTGAAGTGTGTAACAGAGAAGTGATGACCACCCAAGCGACTAACGAGCTGATCAGTGGTGAAGATAAAAGAAACAGTTCTGTTCACGCCGGTATCAACATTTCTTAATTTTTTTTTTATAAGAGAATGGAATTCCCAACACTATATCACAGAAATATTTTGTTTAAGGATATTGTATTGGAAACGTTTGGTAGAGAATTTATTAAGGATCATTATGGTATCAAATTCATCGCTCTATCACAATTAGCCACGCTTGAGTGAGGAGGGGGGGTTAGGAAGTGACAGCACGACCCATCCCCCCTCACCCTCCAAAAAGGTTCATCTACCACACCCCACCATCACAGCCTTCAACATCACTCACACATGTCTAACAAAGGAATTAAGACAGCAGACATAAGGAGTGAGGGTCTTATTGTATGACAAATTTGCATGTGTGTAACTGTGAGTTAGATATCAGCTGTTCACTCATTTTCACTCCATCTCTCTAATCACCCAAACCTTTCTGCTTTCTCACTCCATATTTTAAAATGTAATGCAATGTAATGTTAAAGGGATACAACTTTGCTCATTTATACAGTGGTCCCTCGATTTGCGAACGGTTCAATTAATGAAATTTCGGTTCATGAATTAGCTCCCATAAGCATTTTCAATTCCATTAACAAACAAAATTTTGATTAACGACACCCTTACGAGAAACATGCTTTGTTGTGCGCATCAGCTGATAGGCTAGTCCGCCAATACAGTAATTGGTTCTATGTTTATATTCGTTTCCAGTGGAGTAAATATCAAGAAAGTTGTGCTCTTGAATATTTTTGCATTTTTTTATATTAAAATTATTGGTCAGTCTGAAATTTAGTTAACATATTGATAATATACAGTGCAGAAATTATTATGAAACATGTAGAAAGCATTAGAACCATTGCACTCTGTAAAGAATATGGCATGTCATCATCAACTGAATCTACAATCAGCTGTTTGATTTGTAAACAAAGCTGCCGGGAATACGATATACACACCTCAAAGTTAACCGAATCTATTAGTTCAATGGGATATTGGGGAATTGGTTCCAACTCAAAGAAATGGTATACAGCTGCTCCCCGACTTACGACGGGGTTAGGGACCCAAATCCAGGTCGTAAGTCAGAAATGCAAAAAAATAATATCGAAAAAATAAATTAAATACAGTACAGTAAAAGCAATCAATAATGAAGAATGGATACAGTGTTACTGTGCACTTACCTTTAAAGTAGTCAGCTGAATGCACACGGGGCCTCAATAATTTTCTATTTACAGGTATACATGGAGACTATATTAATTGGATGAAGCAGAGGAGGAGACAGGGCTGGGTGGGTCATCAATGTCACTTTCTTTAGACTGGTTTATGTACAGGGGAAACTTGCTGGTTGAAAATATTGGATCATCTTTAGGGAGTGAAGAGGCAGCACTGGTAGGGCGTGAGGAGACAGCAATGGGGGACTTCTTAAAATAAATGTCCAATTTAGACTGTACAATTTGCTTTTTCTTTTCATTATAAATCTCCCTGTAGCAAGCAAGTGCATCTTGGACCATTCTGTCAACTTTGGCAAAACGCTCAACAGTCTGATCCATTCCGTCAAACATTTGCATCCCCTTATTAATTGCAGCAAATAACTCTGCCATTTGCTTTACTGAAAATTTTTTGGGGGTGCAGGTTCTTCTTCTATATTTAGACGCTCTTCTTCCTCTGCATTTTTCTGTGCTTCCAGTTCAATAAGATCCTCGTTACTTAGCTCTTCTGCTACACTTTCAACCAACTGCTCAACATCTTCATTATCAATTTCTAACTCAAGCTGTTTACCCAACTCCACTATCTTGTTACTAATCTCAGAAATTACTTTATCTTCATTAAATCCTCTGAAGCTGTTCACATATCTTTTCAGGACTGTCTTCCATTTTCCATTCATGCACTGACCTGTAACCTCATCCCATGCTGCACTAACTTTCTTTATACATTTCAAAATGTTGTAGCCCTTCCAAAACTCTCTGAGTGTTTTCTTACCTTCAGTAGCAGCAACAGCCTGAGCAAAGGTCGTACATAAATAATTCGCTTTAAAAGCTGCAATAGCACCTTGATCCATGGGTTAGATGATAGAGGTAGTGTTAGGTGGAATGTGGATTACCTTAACATCAGGGTGCATGTCGTCCAGGTGTGGTGGGTGTCCCGGAGCATTATCCAAAATTAACAAAATCTTGAATGCAATCCCTTGATGCAGACAATACTCCTTGGCTCGTGGAATGAAACAAGTCATGAACTAATCCTCAAACAGTATTAGGGTCATCCATGCTTTCTTGTTACTGTGATAAAATACTGGCAGTGTGTGCTTGCTGACATGTTTAAAAGCCCTTGGGTTCTCTGAATGATATATCATGAAGGGCTTTATCTTGAAACCAGCTACATCCCCCCCCCCAAATGAAGTGTAATTCGGTCCTTGAATGCCTTGAATCCCAGCATTGTTTTCGCCTCTTTGTGGATGTACAGTATGTCTGTTCAGGCATGCGCTTCCATAATAATCCAGCTTCACTCACATTAAATATTTGCTCAGGCAAATAATTTCCCTCCACAATGACACAATCGAGCTCCTCCTTAAAAGCTTCGGCAGCACCAACATCAGCACTAACTGCCTCTCAATTCACCTTTACACTATGCAAACTGTAGCGGATCTTAAATCTGTTAAACCACCCATGACTTGCTGTGAAGGTTTGGTCGCACTCATCTCCTGCCTGCTCCTTCAGGCTTTCGAAAAGGCTTCTTGCCTTAGCCTGTAGGGTTAGAAGGCTTAAGGGTACACGCTTTTGTATCTGGTCTTCCATCCATATCACAAGTAATTTTTCCATCTCATGAATGGGACCTTGTCTTTTCTTCGTTATTATAGTTCCCTTTATAGGTGCTGATCCTTTCACTACCTCATG